GGGTGTAAGGGGTCTCAGGGGCGTCGAAGGTCTTTGGGTCTTAAGGGGTCTGGGGGTCTTAAGGGGTATGGGGGTGTCGGGGGTCTAGGGGTCTTAAGGGGTGTAAGGGGTCTCAGGGGCGTCGAAAGTCTGGGGGTCTTGGGGGGTGTGGGGACGTCGGGGGTCTGGGATGTATGGGGTCTAGGGGCGTAGGGGTATAGGGGTCTTAAGGGGTATGGGGTGTAAGGGGTCTCGGGGGCGTTGAAGGTCTGGGGGTCTTAAGGGGTCTGGGTCTCGTCAGTCTAGGTCAAATCTTAGAGTCCCGAGGGAATATGTATACGAAATTTAACCCCGTCCCCCCAGGGGAATAAAAAGGGAATGTATCCCCTTCTCTGCAAGGACTCCTCCCATTTTAATTTTTCCCAGAGACCCTTCCCATAATTTCCCTTTTCCACTCTGTTTTCCCTCCAACGGTAAAGGAGGGGGCGTGTACCCCCCTCAGCAGGAACCCCCACTTTCTCCCCTAATTCACCCCCCCCCCTTCTCCCCCCAGCTGTGAAGGAGGGGACATGCCCCCCCCTCAGCCGGGACCCCTAAATCTCTCCCCTAATTCACCCCCTCTTCTTCCCCCTCCCAGCGTTGAAGAAGGGGCATGTCCCATCTGGGCAGAAACCCCTCTCTTTTCCTACCGCAATTTACCTCCCCTTTTCCCCCCGGTGTTCAAAAAGGGAACATGTCCCCCCCTCTGCAGAGACTCCTAAACTTCCCCCTGTAATTCACCCCCCTCTTCTCCCCCCAGCTGTGAAGGAGGGGACATGTCCCCCCCTCAGCCGGGACGTGTACCGCTGCGACAACGAGTGCGGGGACGACGCGGCGTGTCCCGGGGACCTCAAGTGCTGCTACAACGGCTGCGGCTACAGCTGCATGCCCCCCCTCAGTGATGCGCCCCCCACCCCTCAGCCTGCCTACACCCCCCCACCAGGTGAGAAGCGCTCCGACCCCCCAGCCCGCCTACACCCCCCCGCCAGATTAGGAGCCAAGGATACCTTCCTTATCTCAACCACCCCTTCCGTTGAACTGTACGTCCTTGAGCCAACGACACCTTCGTTATCTCAAGAGCCCTTCCCTGGAATTGTACGTCCTTACCAGCCCTTCCCTTAAAAAGGGTCGCCTTAACAGCCCTTTTCTTGAACAGCCCTTCCCGCCTTAGCAGCCTTAACAGCGGTCGTCATATGACCGTTTAGCAGTGATCGGTCATGAGAAAAAATTTAGCAGTGAGTTGCTGTCTCGAGTCTTTGCTGGCTGTGAAATATTCTGATAGAGATGGTCGAAAAATTCAGTTGGTTGAAGAACACGAAGATTAGAACAGTGAGTTTCAGGTTCTAGATGCAGCCCATCAAAGTTTTGATTCCTGTCAGCCGCTGGCTCAAGGGCGCCCCAAGCTCGCCCAGCGGTGTAAATTATCCACTTTAGGTTTTGATTGAACGAGAGAAATAAGAACCTGATTAGGATCCAGTTTATTTCTTGACAACTGTGGGGCGACTGCGGGGTGCGAGTATTTGGTACCTGATACGTTCGGGACAGACAGGGGCCGAATCTGAAAAATGCGTTGAAAATTCCCCTTCCCTTCCCCTCTTTATGGGGGAAAGGAGGGGCATTTGAATCGCTGCACGCTATATATATGAGCAGACTAGACATGGATCATCGCAGCACAATGAAGCAGGTGGCAAGTATAAACGTTTTTGAAACGGGAATAACATCGGTTGATACAACTTTAAACCCCAACTTTCCACTTTACACACAACGTTCTACAATATTTACCAGAATTGTAAGAAACTGCCCGAGCAAAATAATTTTCAATATTCACCAGCAGTCAGCATTCGCACAAATTGCCCAAAATCAAACATTCTTCAATATGCAATAGCATTCAACGATCAACATTCTCAAATATTCAACACCGCTCAATATTATCGCACATCATCCATGTGCGAAACATTCTAACACATTCACCCGTACCAAACATACCTACCTATTGCGGGCACCAAACATTTTCCACATGGATTTGGATTTAGGGCGTGGTGACTCTGAAGGGAAGAACGACAACGGCCATTAGCCACGCATCACATTTTCATTTGTTAGTAGAAAGGAGGAAGAAAGGGAAACTATAAATAGCAAAGAGGGTGTGAAAGTTCGTGTTAGGGGTAAGATGAGAGATAGGTGAAAGGGAATCATGAGGAAATTCATATGGTTTATTATTGCTATATCTCAGTTTTTGCCCTACGTAACTTTACATTTACGTTAGTTACATACGATAGAGCAAAACACTGTCTCATGTTAACCAGTATTTATGATTCTCTAATATTTGCCATCACTAAACAATAACATTCACGTATACTTTTAAGCATTCTGCGGTAAAAAGCACTTATATCCATCCTTAAAGTTCTCAGAAAATATTTGCAAAACTTCCACATACGACATAGTAAAACACTCTCCCATGTTAACCAGTATTTATCATTCTCTAATATTAGCCGTCACTGAACAATAAAATTCACATTTACTTTTAAGCATTGTGCGGCAAAAACCACTTATATCAATCCTTAAAGTTCTGCCAAAATATATGCAAAACTTCCACATACGACATAGCAAAACACTCTCTCATGTTAACCAGTATTTATGATTCTCTAATATTTGCCATCACTAAACAATAACATTCACATATACTTTTAAGCATTCTGCTGCAAAAAACCACTTATATCAATCCTCAAAGTTCTCCCAAAATATTTGCAAACAACAGCCTAGTATATCTAGTATCTACAGGGCTCAATTATAACCATTTTAATATGGAGCAAATTCAATACGGTAGCGAACTCCTGTGTTTTCAGGTACAAAGTACATAAAATATGAATAAAATTAAGTTATCTTCATTATTGCGTTCATCTTGATTACTAATGTTATCTTTATTTTTAATATAAACTTGAATAATATAATCATCATTCTCCTAATCATGGCCTTGTGCCGTCCCACCGCCAGTGAACTATTATTAATTATTATTATTTTAATCATTATTATCATGACCCGCCGCCGCCCCGCCAGTGAACGAGTCGCCTAACCTAACCTAACCTAACCTAACCTAACCTAACCTAACCTAACCTAACCTAACCTAACCTAACTTAACTTAACTTAACCTAACCTAACCTAACCTAACCTAACCTAACCTAACCTAACCTAACCTAACCTAACTTAACCTAACCTAACCTAACCTAACCTAACCTAACCTAAACTAACCTAACCTAACCTAACCTAACCTAACCTAACCTAACCCGCCACCGCCCGCCGCCAGTGAACGAGTCGCCGGCTGTGATCGTGGCGGCGGACGTGGCGGTGACGGCGGAGGACGAGGACGTGGCGACGCTGATGTGCCGTGCAGAGGGCAACCCGCCGCCCACCGTCACGTGGTACAGGGACGGCAAGCAGGTGGGTCATGGTGGGCAGGTGAGTAGGAGCTGGGAGGGGAATGGTTGAATATCCTTGATGCCCCAAGTCTTCCTCGTGGGTACTGAGAGTCAACGAAGTGGGTATGAACCCCACAGCCTGTAGTGAGGGGGGCATCGTAAGGGGGTTCATAGAGAGGCAGGGGGGTTGAAGGGGTGCCGTGGAGCCCTTCTGACAGTGAAACTGCTTCGGCGGTGATAAGAAAAACTGTTTAAATGTTTGATGGAATAAAAAATTCGAGTGGTTAAAGTTCAGAGTACTAAGAGAGGCACGGGTTCGATCCCAGCTCTGTGCGCCAGTTTCTGGTCAGAATCGGCGAGGAGGCCGGGCGGTTAAGCACAGCAGAATTGTAGCAGTGAGTTGCGAGTTCGAGACCGCAACAAGCAGTGAATATCCTACGATGTTTACGATGTAAGAATCGATGAAGAATTCTACGATGTAAGAATCGGCGACAGGTCTACGGTCTACTAAACGCTGAAACCGCTATACTATACTAAACTTTACTGCCTAGGTTACGGGCTGTTCTTAAACGTGAGATAAATGATATATAGAAAATATGACAGCAGCGTCCGCATACATCAATACCGCGAATAAATATTTGCGAAAAATTTTACTTGTAAACCACTTAATTTGCTATGACGGTGGAAACACCGCCAGATCTTCGCACGCGGTAGGACATGGCGATAATGTTTCCCTTTTGTCCACATTATATCAAGATAAATTAAAGTACAAGCTGTACAAATTAAATTATCAATATATATAGATAATATGTCTCGATAAACATTAAATAAATTATGAATAGATATAAACAACATATCTAGAGAATACATAAATCAATTATCAATAAATTTAAATAACTTGTATAGAGAATAAATAAATCAATTAATAATAAATATAAATAATATATCAAGAGATTATTCCCCTCCCTCCCTCCCCAGCTGGACACCAGCCAGGGGCGCCTGCGGGTCCTCGAGGACGGGTCCCTGCAGGTGGTGGGCACACAGCTGGCAGACGCTGGCACCTACACCTGCACCGCTGCCAACGGCCTGGCCCCTCCTGCACGGCGTGACGTCCAGCTCACCGTCATAGGTGGGTCGCCTAACTAAACCCAAACTGAACTAACCCAGCTCAGCCTAACCTAACTTAACCTATCCTAACCTAACTTAACCTAGCCTAACCTTACCCAACCTATAATAACTTGATCCAACCTAACCTAACTGAACCCCACTTAAGATCACCTAACCTAACCTAATCTAACCTAACCTAACTAAAACTAACCCAACCTAATCTAACCTAACCAATCACATCCTAATTTAACCTAACCCAACCCAATCCAACCTAAACTAATGTAACCTAACCTAACCTAATCTAAGATAACCTACCATTGAAACCTAAGCTCAGTTAACTTAAGCCAACTTAATTTAACCTAACCGCACTCCCACTACCTCCGTGATGTCGTGTGGATCTCACTTCTCTTTCACTTCAACCTTACTTCTCTAACGTTGTACAGAGTTGTTGTGTGCGGTTGGTAATGGTTTAAATTGAATTCTACACACTCTTTCTGGAATTTCATACGATTCTCTGAGTAGGGGTTGTCATATATTTCTTTGGTGCACAACTAAATACTAATTCCTTTGTATCCTGCAAATCCTGTAGAGCAGAGGTGATACCACAAAATTCCTATTATCTAAAGTTCTCTGACTCCTACCTACTTGCATCAACTTCTATTTTTCCATTTACTACCACTAACTTCCACTAACTAATTTGACATAACCTAACCTCTCCAATAACTTCCACTAACTACCACTAAGTTCCACAAACTACCACTAATAATTAATTGCATTCAATAGTGTTTAATAACCTAACCTAACCACTAACTACCACTAACACTCGTAGAGGGCAAGCCTCGCGAGGCGAAGGTGGTGCCGAACCGCAACCCCCGACCGGTGGTGACCCTGGGGCGCCCGACGGTGATAAGATGCTGGGCTGTGGGCAAACCTCGACCCACCGTCACGTGGTGGCGGGGGACCAAGATGCTCCCAATGTCCTCCCAAAAATACGAGCAGACCCGCGACATGGCCCTCCGCATCACGATCATCACCTTGCGGGACCTGGGGCCATACACATGTCAGGCATATAACGGTCAGGGGCGGGCCACGTCCAACACGGTCACTCTTCTTGCCATGGGTCCCGTTAGAGCCTCAACGGAGAAGGACCGAGAGTATCTAAAGTACATTGTCGAACCCAGGCTGGGACCTCTGGGACCCGAAGAGCCTAGAACCCAAGCTCCAGACCCAAGGCCTGCTAGGCCCGACCCTGATGCTTACTTCAGGACGTCACCCCCGCCTCCACTGATCACTTACGCGCCGCAAGGTGGGACGACGAACCGAGCCCACTGGGCCTTGTTCCACTGACTCGTGTATTGTCCCACTGACTCGTGTCTTATCCCACTGACAGGTGTCTTGTCCCACTGACTGGTGTATTGTCCCACTGATTCGTGTCTTGTCCCACTGACTCGTGTCTTGTCCCACTGACTCGTGTCTTGTCCCACTGACTCGTGACTGGTCCCACTGACTTGTGTATTGTCCCACTGACTCGTGTATTGTCCCACTGACTGGACCTTGGGATTTGGTCTTGTCCCAGAGTCTTAAGATTGGTCTAGCTGACTGGGGTCATATGCCTTTTGGTCTAACCTAACGTAACCTAACCTAACCTGACCGAGAATTAGAGCTAAACACTATTTAAACTATCGTATTTTTTTATAACCGAGATTCAATCCTAATAACTGTTTAATCTAATATCATGTAGTCGTGCATTAAACCTAAAAGCACTTTAACCAAACTTATTTGTTGTAACCGCATGTTAAACTTGATTGAGATTCAACCTAACTTATTTTGTATTGATATTAAACCACTGATATCATATTGAACCACATTAGGTTAGTCCATACCATTTCTACTATCTACCTCGAGCGAATATTAGGTTAGTCCATACCATCGCTACTATCTACATGGAGCGAATTTTAGGTTAGTATATACTAACATTATTATCTACCTCAAGCAAGTACCTCAATTCATTGGTAGTACCAAGTACCAGTGATCCGCGCACCACTAGTTGAGAACTTATGGGTAGTAATCATCTGTGCACAAGGGAGGCGGATGCTCAAAAAGTAAACAATTATTCTATAATTATCGGTAGGCTCTCTAGGAAAATTTCTGGTTCCACGTAATATTCAATGAAGCCTATCTTCACTTCCCTTACTCTGGAGATGGTCAGACGTGGTTCCGTTGCAGTGAAACTTTGGATGATTCTTTAAAAATATTTTATTCGAGTCTCATAAGTCTCGTCACGACGAGAGAAGTTTCTAAGATGTAGCTCATAAGCTGTAGTGCTTTCTTTTCAAGATAGTTCCCTTACTCTCATTTTTCATTATTCCTTCGCCATACCTCAAATCTAGAACTATATGTCGTGAACTATGCTCGTGTCATTCATCTTGAATCAATGCACTGCACGGGTCTCGCTTTAGTCAACCAAGTTCTACGGTTAATGCGAACTTGATTGCAACGTTCGCTAATCGTTACTTTAATAGTTTAATAAGAGTGTAACTGGGACAAAGAAGCTTGTGTCGTATCACATCTTATCATATTTACTTAGGTTGTATGACTTGTAAAAACCGTCGCATAATATATAGTAATATTTTCTGAGGTTTTATGGCTTCGAAAAACGTCTGAAATTTCTGTGGTTCTTAGTTGTCGATTTTAGTTTGATCCTGGCAAATCGAACTTTCCATCGCTATGGCGTGCAAGGGTTGTAATTACAGTACCTACCTTTCAGATCCCAGTTTTCGACATTCACACTGATTATAATCGCCATGCTTCCCCAATCATCAAAAAATATCGATCATCTACCTTCATCATCCATTGCCTTGAAGATATCTGCCTTTCCAATTTCCCTGCACATACCCAGTTCTGCATATACCCAGTTTCCCTGCATATACCCATTTCTGCATTTACCCAGTTACCCTTCCCAGTTTCCCTGCATATACCCATTTCTGCATTTACCCAGTTAACCTTCCCAATTTCCCGGCATATACCCAGTTTCATTGCATATACCCAGTTTCCCTTCCCAGTTTCCCTGCATATACCCAGTTTCATTGCATATACCCAGTTTCCCTTCCCAGTTTCCCTGCATATACCCAGTTCCCGTCCCAGTTTCCCGGCATATACCCAGTTTCATTGCTTATACCCAGTTTCCCTTCCCAGTTTCCCTGCATATACCCAGTTTAATTGCATATACCCAGTTTCCCTTCCCAGTTTCCCTGCATATACCCAGTTCTGCATTTACCCAGTTTCCCTTCCCAGTTTCCCTTCCCAATTTACCTGCATATACCCAGTTCTGCATTTACCCAATTTCCCTTCCCAGTTTCCCTGCACATACCCAGTTGCCCTTCCCAGTTTCCCTGCATATACCCAGTTTCCCTGCACATACCCAGTTTCCCTTCCCAGTTTCCCCTGCATATACCCAGTTTCCCTGCATATACCCAGTTTCATTGCATATACCCAGCTTCCCATCCAAGTTTCCCTGCTTATACCCAGTTCTGCAAATACCCAGTTTCCTTCCCAGTTACCTCCCATATACCCAGTTTCCCTGCCCAGTTTCCCTTCATATACCCAGTTTTGCATATACCCAGTTCCCTTCTCAGTTTTCCTGCATAAACACGGTTCTGCATATACCCAGTTCTGCATATACCCTGTCTCTTATACACATCTAGATGTGTATAAGAGACAGATGAAGATGTGGGTGATGACCCTGGTCTGCTCGTAGGGTGAGGGCAGCGTCGTCCCCCGTCGTAGAGCACCCAGACGCGCCACCCAGTAAGCCTCCGTCGACCTGGCATTAAAAATGCGTTATTAAAAATATTTTCAAACAGCATGACAAAAATGGGGGAATGAGGATACCCCCATTTGAGAAGGATACCCCCCAAGGATACCCAAAAGAGACTAAGAAGGATTATCCTTATTACGCAACAGAGCAGAGTAGGATTTCAATCTCAGCATCAAAGAGAGGGGAAGTTCACCCTGGAGATGTAGTTTGAAGTAATATGTAGTTTAAAACGTTCAAAAGCCCGCGAAACAGACATTCATATATTGAAAATATTTTCTCCCAGCATGTCAAACATGGGGAAAGAAGGACACCCCCATTGAGAAGGATACCCAAGAGAGACTAAGAAGCATATCCTTATTACCCAGCAGAGCAGAAATGACGATTTTAATCAATTTAAAGCAAATTAATTGATCAAATTATTTAAATTATCAAATATAAATTATATTTAATTATATAAATAAATATAATTAAATTAATCAGAGCAAAAGATTTTAACCAATTTCCGTGGCAGGACCGAGATTGTTTAACGGCCTAGAAGAGCATCTAAGAGAGGGGGAGTTCACCCTTGAAAACTTCAAGAGACTGGACGTGTTCCTAGGTACAGTCCCTGATCGTCCGCCTCTGCACCACTACATCATCTGGCCCAACTGCACCACTCACCAGTCCCCCCACTCCCCCATCCCCCACTCCCCCGTCCCCCACTAACC